CCAAAATTAATAGTACTTTTCAAAGCTTTAATAATGAATTGTTAAATCGGCGTGATTTATAATTTTAATGTCTACAAAAAGATTTAGTAACATCAGTCAAGACTCTCCTCGTACTTAACGCATTAAAATAATATATATTCTGTGTCTGTCGTATGCTATATGAACCGTGCATATCTTACTCAATAGAAAAATCAATGGGACCGTTTTTATTCACAATAATTCTCATTATTAATGGTTCGCGTCCCGTTTCCGCAAAAAACGAGCTCAGCATCTTAGAGACGTTTGGTCTTGGTTTGTGGAGCATGTTTGGTGGGACGGGATTCGAATCCGCGACCCACAGATTGCGAGTCAAGTGCCCTAACCACCTGGCCATGCCGGGCCTAGAGAGAGACAAGGGTGCAGTATAAGAGTGACGGTCAAATCCCACTAGGTATTCGATCAGAGAACAATAACGAGAGTTAGTAACGGTGAGCCAACTATGCTCAGATAGATGGCCTTTGTAAATTCTGAATCAAATAATCGGTTGAACAATCGCCAAGTTATATATATACATGTATATTTACAGAAAGACGACGTTTCGAGGTAGCGCTCTTCGTCAGATCGTAACTATATTTGATTTTGAAACAAACAAATATATTATCGAACATGTTCAAAGACACGCTACTATGTCAATATCCCTTTTGTAAACACTGATGAAGAACAAAATTTGACATAAATCTATATAAACATAATAGTACTGTCTGTTGTATGTCCATGTAACTACTTGGCAGGGTGTGGATGAATCTTCACCAAAATTGGTATGGAGGTTCATTAGGTCCATGCAGGGGTACATACAAATTTTCAGTTTTGCATTTTGCGTTTTTTGTGGGCGTTTTTTACTACTACCTCACCTCATGTGGATAGATCTTCACCAAATTTGATATGGAGGTTCATTGGGTCTATGCAGAGATACATACAAATTTTCAGTTTTGCATTTTGCGTTTTGCGGTTTTTATGAGCGTTTTTTTACCACTACTTTGCCTCCTGTTGATGGATCTTCATCAAATTTGGCAACGAAGGTTTGTTTGGTCCATGCAGACTTGTAGTTTCACATTTTGTGTTTTGCAGATTTTATGGGCGTTTTTGCATTTTTTTACGATTACGTATAAGAAAAGCAACTTTTCATGTCCTAAGATAACCTTTTATTAATCATGAATTTACATAACTTCCGTCCAGGGGGCGGGTACTCCAGCTAGTAAAACAATAATTTGGTTATTACTAAATAAGTTTGATAATAAAACACCATACGAATAAAACTTTAATTGATTATTAATATTCTAAAAATAAAGATAGAATAATTATGTGAATTTTGCATACGTATAAATTTAGGAAAATTTTGTATAAATTTACAAAAACAACTTCAAAAGAAAGGGTAGTGCGAATTATATCCAACCAAACTTTAGATGAAATATATCAAATGTAATTTTATGAAACAAAAAAAAAAAAAAGAGCGACGACAAAAAAAACCTAAAAGGATAAATATT